GCGTGCGCGCGCGCGCGCGCGCGCGCGCGCGCGCGCGTGTGTGTGTGTGTGTGTGTGTGTGTGTGTGTGTGTGTGTGTGTGTGTGTGTGATGATTTTTAATAACATGGATAATAACATGGATAGTATGTTTGTTTCTTACGCATTTACCAATATATTCAAACTTTTACTTTTTACATGATTCTTTAAATTATTTCATAGTCATATAAAATGTAGACGTGCAAACTCTTCAAAAAGTATCTACACAAGCATTGTAGAAAGGAACTAAAGGAATATATATTTCGTACGTGGATTTGAAGAAATACTGTCTTCTTATGTACAAGAATATATCTATGCCCTACTGCGACATATATAATCCTCCAGTTCTTTCTTAACACAGTCGTTAGTGATTTGTTAAGGGTTCTGACGTCTACTTTTTTTACGATAATATTATACAAAAAATGATATTTTTATGTTAAATTGCAAAACATAATCAGTAGTTTTTTTCTTCAAATATTGAGTGACGTAGACAGATCTGTTTTAAGCTGCAGAATGCGACTCGATAAAATTTACATAAATATTTCGGACAAGTACTAATTAAGTGAGTTTTGTTATATATGTGCTGAGTACATCACTCGAAGAATCGTCACTAGAGAAAAAATTTGTTACATTTATGAAATCGGTTTAGTTTTTATAAATGTAGTAACACAGTATTTGATTTTAAAGCATAATTTGAAGAATATTACATTTTAAAGTAATTTCTATAATTATGTATATAATTTTATAAATTTAAACAATTTGATTTAAACAATTATGTTATAAATTTATAAATATATATGTATTTAAATTTACAAATCTTATACATTTATAAACACAAAACCGATATGCGATAAATAAGTCAAATTATACACAAACTGTCTTCATGTATTTCCAATCACTTAGGTCAAAGTCAAGACTGTCGTTATCGCTGGTCATGAGATGCCACTTAAAAACATCGGTACTATTGTTTCCATTGTCAAATGTAGAGAAATCTATATAAACATCTGTAATATATAAAAAACATATATTAATTATTTGATTTTTGTTGTTTTTATCATATTTTGATTGAGTACACCGTTGAAAGAATAAAATGTTATGACAAATATTACTAAGCAATAATAATTAATAAAATATGATTAAAACTTACGATCGTTTTTCTTTTAGCTTGCGTAGCTTGTGGACGGTCCAGCTTGATCGTGTGCTGTTCCTTGGTCCAAATCTTTTTGTAGTATTTTGTCAGCTGAATGTTTATTTTTGATATGTTTTCTTAAATTCTGCATGTGAAAATGTATGCTTATATTTTCTGCACAAATTATACATTTAACAATTTCTGTTTCTTGTCTTGCGTATTTGAACACCCAATTGTTAAATTTAAAAAGTTTCAGTTTTTCTGGAGAATGATTTATTATATGGTTATTCATTTGTTTCGTCTGATTTGACACAGACTGGGTACATAAAACGCATTCCATTTCTTTATTTGTTGGGCTTATTAATCGAAAATATTTTAAATTTTTATTGAAAGGCGCCGGTTTTTTTAAATCTTCAATTTTGCAAATCCATTTATGCTCTTTTATATGTTGTTTAAGCGAGTGAGCCGTTATACATGTAAGGTATTTACTGCAAAATCGACACTTAGTTTTAAAATTTACAGGCTTATTATAATAAATATTCAAAAAGTGAAATTTTTTTATTTGGTGTTCCCAGGATTGTTTGTATGATGGTTTAACTTTTTGCCATTTTTTTTGGTGAGTATTTTCGACATGCTTCTTTAAATTCTGAATTTCTATATACAGATTAAAATTTTTTGATTGAGTGCAAAGTCTGCACTTAGCCGTAGAATCTTCTACTTGTTTCAAATATTTCCAGCTCCAATCTTCAAATTTATGTCGCCCTAGACTTTTTTCTTCTTTTGAATGTTTTTTTATGTGCTCTGATGTGCTTTCATTTAAATTATTTAGGGTCATATCACATAAAATACACTCTTCTTCTTTTTTTTTGGTTAGTCTATAATATCTCCAATTTATGTTTGTCTTCTGATTCTCTTCGAACTCATAAAATTCGAGATGCTTTCGGAGTACATGGTTCGTAAATTTATTATTTTTAATAAACCGCACATATTTATAAATTGTTTTGCAAGATGGTACCCGACACTGTACTCTAAAGTTTTTTTTTATTATATAGTGCTTCACTACCGTTTTGTTTGATCGAACTACTTTGTCGCAAGACATTGTGATCTGTTCTGTATGACAGAACGTATTTAACTGAACGCGATGCGAGGAATATTTCGTTGAAAAGTGCTTGATAGAAGCGATCGAGGAAAGAGACGTACAGTTTTTCTGTTTGTATGTAAATACTAACAACATTCAAACCTACCTAACAATTTTCAAGACAAGCGGTAGGATGCGAAATATGTATAGTAAACGATTTCGGGGGAGCAAGAGCGCTCTCGCGCGCGATAGAGTGTGAGAAGGCGTTAGGGGGGAGGAAGGGAGAGAGAGCGAGAACGATGATATGGTGGAGAGAGAAAGAGGGGCAGAGAGAAGCATTACAGTGCGTTCATTACGCAGATAAATAATGTTTTGAGAAATAATGAACAAGACAATAATGAAGATTATAGTTAATATAATTAATATTATGATCTATATTATTGACTACATAGATAAAATAGGAGCATTTTTCTAATTTATTGATATATAAAATATATAAGATATAATATTGCAATTGGTACATTCATTGCAGAAATATAAATACTTGCATACCTGTTCTTTTATCTCACTTATATTGTACAATTTAAAACAATACACTTTTACACAATAAAATAAAAATTTTATAATCCATACGTAGAAAAACGATCAGTGTTTCACCTCGATAGCTTGATATTTATACGTTTAGCGTCTCGAGCGATATAATTTGTTTAATCAACATTCTAATAACGTATAGAACTCTTCGTATAGAAATGAAAAGTGATTACAGACTGACACGAAATGTCATTTAAAATCGATAGAACTATTGACATACGACCAGCGTCTTACCTCTATACTAAAAAATATGCGTTTTTCAAGGAAATAATTATTTAAAACAAATTCTAATTGTTTCTATCATCAGAACTCTTTGGAAAGGCATTGTGCATGCCCAGAACTATACGAATACTGATTTATAATAATTGTAAAGATTTCAAACACTCGTTACGAAGAGAAATAAAATAAAGATCACAACAGATTTACGCCGCAAGGCCACCGCATATCATTTAAAGATTTCGAACGTTTTACATAAATATTAATAAACTTTAGTTAATTTTCGGAGTTATAAATTAAAACTCAAGTAAGATTTTTTTAATTTACAACTTCGAAAATTAACTGAAGTCTATTGATACATATGTAAAACGTTCGAAATCTTCACATATATGTTTATTCATTGCAAAAATTATTAGTTGTTCCGCATGTTTTGCAGATAAACATGCACGTGTGTCGGTTATAATATTTTCTGCGCAACTAAACACACGTTCAGATGGAACGCTGGTTCCTGGTAGTATCAAATATTTTTCCGCAATACATAAATTTGGAAAATCTTTTGAATGATTGTTTCATCAGAGTAGTGGATTCTTTTCTGAATCTGTTATTGGAGATTTGATATAATATTTTAATTTTGTATCCATCAACTTCTCGAATGTCTTAGTTTGTTTAGCCTGTTCTGGTTGTAAAATAGCCGTTAATCCTTCGAAACAATTATTTTCTTTATTTAATACATTAGACGAACACGTTGAAGGATGTTTTTCTAATCTTCGCGGTTGGATAATTTTCAATTTGATTTTATTAACAGCATTAATTGTTTCTTCAGGTAAATAATTTGATTTAAATCGCGGATTTAAAAAAGGTGCCGTTTGAATAACATTTTTTATTTCTGGCTTGTCATACTTTTCTTTCAGGCATTGACAAATAATTTGTTTTATTTTATTTGATAATGCATGATCAATATCATAGTATCTGTTGTCATTATTTTCTGATTCGTCCGTCACGTTATCACTAATACTTAATTTGCCGGTTATAGTTAAATGTATGGGATAAATTGCTGATGATGTTACATAATATTCGTCCCACATATGTTGGCAGATTTGTTCTAATGATTCTATTATAATTACTAATGTGTTTTACACTTTTAATTCCTCCACGGTTAAGCAATAATTATTGTATTTATTTTTTCGCGTTTCTGAAAATAATGATTAATGTAACATGTTGCTCTATTATTAATAAATGTTTTTCAGTAAACCTGTAATGCTTCATTAATAAATACATCTTTATTTGCTATGCATTTTAATGCAAAATTTACGACAAATCCAAAAAGGTTATACTTTACTCTATATTCTAATTTTCCTTTTAGCGATCTCATTATTGCATCTAATTCAATACATGTAACATTGTTACTTTTATTTGACAGCAATGATTTTGTCAATAGATTTACATAATTGTACAAAATATAAATATATTTTGAATATGAAATAGATTTCAGATTACGCTTTATTTCATGTTGTTCTCGACTGACAAAATCCTTAACTACTTTATGACAATCCTCTTTGTCTAATTGTTTAAAATAACTAACTGTAATGATGGTTAAAGAGGACATCACTGAAACATCCTGTATATTAAGTATAAAATTAATAACGCGCACACTTAGAGTGCTAATTGCGCCTTCCATTATAAGCTGCTAATTTGTGGTACATTGTGACAGAGAAATTCTAATAGTCCAAGGCGCATATCAACATCACTCCCCTTTTTATCCAATGAGACTGTGACTTGTCAGTAGGAATTTCCATTGCTAGAACGAAGTTCGTGGAATGTCCCGTTGTGCTCAGCGTTCCAGTGCGCTCAATAGTTTTATATAAAGGACATATGTAAATTCCATAAGGTAGAATTGCGTGGTCAACTTCCGGTAATAGGAAAATCGGTGGCATCTCTAAAATAAACAACATTACCTGTCGTATAAATGTAAATAAAATGCAGAACAACTGCACAAAATTGTAATTTGCTTAATGAGCTTTAAAGTGAAGTTTTTAAAGCATATTTTAGAAAATTTATACTTTAAAATTTAATCTAAAATTAGATTAAATTTATTAACAATAATATAATTAGAAACTTATTAATACTTAACGGGTAAATAATTGTTTTGGAAAAGATTCCGCGAGATATTTTCCGTCCCACCGACAGCCCTCCAGAAAAAGATCATAAATGACACAACCATTCGATGGTCTCTGCATTGGTTTAGAAGATAAAACCTATAATATAAAGCACATTTTACATGACATTCACATAGAATTATTCTTGTCATTTATCAATTTTTAAACGTAAAATAATTTAAAATTGCTGCAAATCAGCATACAATGATTTAATAATAATCTAATTAATAATTATTGATTCCACACATTTGCAGATATTTTTGATCAAAGTTATAAAATAGAATTTGCATATAAAGTTTTATTTAATTAATATATTTGATTATTATTCATGTTTAATAAAACTCAAATAGCTGAAAATGTTTTGAAAATTCATTAGTCTCCTTTAATTTAACTTCCTATAATTATCGTATGTTGCAGGTCAATCACATTGGACTATTAATCGATTAATTAAAGGTATAATTGACAGTATACCTTGTAGCTAAAATCGATTGTGTCAATGGATACTATATGTTTGCGTGCAAAGTTTTGCAACGTGCCAGTTAGGAGGGCTTGAGGAAAGTAAAAACTGGGCATCCAAAATGCTGATGGTATACCGTGATCTCGCCAATCACTTATAAATTTAATTTTTTTCTTCAAATCGTGGAACCATGCGGCTAATTAAAATAATTAAAAAATTTTAATTGTAATTGACTTTAAATAAAATCTATAAAATCACTAAAAAAATAAGTATATTGTTAAAAATTTGTGATTTAGATTTTTTTATACATACCCAAAGATTTTAAAGAAGGATAACTCTTGCTTTGCCAATTTGCGGGTATTTTATTGTTAAAAAGACTAATAACTATCCTTTCGAGTTGCTCCGACATGACAATCAAACCTTTTAAAGCTTTCAAAAGATCCTGTAACGTTGATTGCACGATTTCGAGTAAGCCGTTGTATCGACGAGCTTCTTCCAACAGAACAGTATTAAGAGATTCCTCGTACAATAATGGGTATCTGAAATTCAATTTGCATTTTACTTAAAGAACCAATTTATTTTTATCATTTAAATTTAGATTTTATGCGTCTTTGCTATGCTTGTCTTAAAGCGATCTAAAAATTTTTATTTCTTTATTATATTGCGTAGAAAAATACAACTTTGAATTATAAATTAAAATCTATAACTTCTTTTTACTATGTAAATAACTTGACTATGTGAATAATTTAAAAATATATCTAATAATATATCTAATTAAAACATGTCTTTTATTACAAGTATACAGAATAAAAATAATTAAAAGATATAAAATAAAAAATAAATGTTTTTTCCTAAGAAAAGATATTTTAGCATACGTCAAAATAAAGCTGCAAAACTCCTTTAAATTATGATTACAAAATGATATTAAAAGTATACTAAAATTTAAAATTTAAAATATCAGAACTTCAATGAAAAGATATATCGTACAATAGTACCTCATTTGCATTGCAATTAAGTCAAAGGGTTCAGGAATTGTGGCTAACATATTGTTAGTTATTTCACTTGTCACTTCTTCCACATTTGCGGTTGCAACACCAAGGTCTTTAGATTGTATATTTGATAGAGTTGCAAGGCAAATGTATGCTTCCGCTTGCGCGCAATTTATATCAGCATTTGAATGCAGGCCAAATAATGATGGATCATCGTTTAAAGGCAAATCCTTTATATACTCCACATAATCGTCAAATGACGCTGTAGTCGGCAACTTCATATATGAAAATGCAACGTGACATAAAGACGTGAGATAAAGCATGATGAATTCTTTTGTAAAATACTTTTATTGTGATTTTTTAAATATTAAAAATTTTTTAGTATAACTATATTATCATTATTATTATTAAATATACTTATTACTATTAAATTAAATACTATTAAATACTTTTTATATTGTAATTTTCTTATATTTTTATTTTTTAATAGTTTTTGTTATTGTTTAATCATTATATCTTTTAATAATATTATAAGGTAGGTAAAATAACAAGTTTTCCAAATTCAAATATTTTTCCTAAATTTGTTTCACATGACAAAATAAAATTGGATGATCTTTATAGTACAATGTGATGTTTTTATTTTTTCAGACTTAATAAATAATGCATCTTTATTTTTTTGAAAATATCGTACTTTAAACTTTTGGTCTTTAATTTATCTTACAAACATTTCTAGGAAATGCCTGTTGTTTTATTTGAATTTATATACCTGATAATAAATGCCCTTACTTTAAACTTTTGGTCTTTAATTTATCTTACAAACATTTTTAAAAAATGCTTGTTGTTTTATTTGAATTTATATACCTGATAATAAATGCCCTGTTGATCAAATTGGTAGTCTGGAAGGGCAACATCAGGATTATAATAATCCTCGAGAAGTGTCAAGACACATCGACGATCCCAATCATCTGTTATTCGTCCACCATAGTTAATGTGTCCAGTAGTATATGTGAGAATCTATACTTATGCCCAAAAATATAATGTTATTTGCAAATCAATAATTTTATTTTATAATGCATAATTTGTAGTTTCAAAAATCAAAACGTTGAATTTTTAACAAACTTATATAACAATATTTAAAAAATAATTATGATATAAAAAACGACGAATTCTACTCAAAGTAAAATATTGCAAGATGTAGAATCGCGTATTTAATGTAGAAACTTCATATTTAAAGGCAGGAATATAAAAATATAAATTTTTATTGCACTTTTAATTTCATAGAGAGTTCAAGAAGAAATGTGATTGAAACATGAATGCTTTGATCTTTTTCGTCTGTCATCGGTATTTTACCTTATACGGTGAAGTATCGTATTCCATGAGAAATATGTATAGTTGCAAAACGCATATAGCTAAATCCTCGTTTGTAAACTCGTAGGATATGTTGAAGCCGAGAGAACCAAATTTCCGTCTCTCGAGCAGAATTGAGTGGAACATGCAAAGTGAGAATACAAGCCACTTGAATGACGGAGCTTTCGGGTGGTCGGATTTCAAAAGCTCTTGTATTTCTATCACTTGTGTCAGGTATGCATGAAGCATGTTGGCCTGCGTTAAAATGTAAAAAGAAATAAAAAGTACGAGATAAACTATCCCAAGTAAAAGTCATAATATAAACAAAGTTTTATCCATTTTTCCTGTTTAATTATGCTACATTGTATTTTATAGTAGAAATGTTTCTCTTCTTCTATGTTTTAATGATAAAAACATTAATGTTACACAATTATTTGTAAAAAGTATTGTATTTTCCGTATATGTGTAGAAATGAAAGTTGTTTTAATGGAACGTAAAACCAAAATAATTTTATTTTAAAAATTTATACCGGTTTCCCATTAAAATGAATTGATGTAAATGATACCTTTATACCTCGCGGTGTCTGTATTATCATTTTGCTGCTATTGTGAAGAATACTAAGGGGAAAATTGGACGACGGCTCGGATGTCATCCACAATCGAAAATCTTGATGAACATTTTCCGATGACAACGTTTCGATGAAGGATTCGAGTTCCAGCATCCAGCTTGGTGTCAAGTGGCAATTCTGCAATAAAAAAAAGTTATCATATATAAATATCATTTTCAAATATCATATTTATTTTATTTTATCGAATATATAAATCTCATCTCCTTTTTTCGCTACGATTACGAATATGTCTACACAGAATAAATCATTTTCAGAATTTTCTTTTTTCTCATCATACATAATTAAAATATATTCTTATTATATTTGTCATACTCTGATCATAAGAAAAGAGAAGAACAATATATGTAGAAAAATAGGACATTGTCAGAGAAAAATATCAAAGTAGTATGGATTAATTTATGTAAAAACGAGAACGAGATAATGAATGAAAGAATTTCTAACTTGAAAGAAAACCCAGTTGCCAACTTCCGCCGCTTGTTTTAACATGGCTTGCGCTTTGAGTTCTTGATTCTGCCCGAGAGATATTGAATGTAATTTTGTCCCCATTTCTAATTTGTCGGCGAATTTATGTAATTTCTTCAGCGGGTCAGTGCCGGGCGATAAAATAAAGACAATCGGCTTGGTGTTAGATGATGCCATATAAATTGCTGACAAATTCGCAACTTGCGGTTCAATAAACTGCCGACCTAGATACTTCGCTAGATAGATTTGCATAGTATTAATGACTTTGTCGGGCCGTAGGCACTTGAGCACCAACAATTTTTCAAAGTCGTCCAGCTTTGTGGCCCATGGTTCGGGAAATGGCACTCTGAATAATCAAAGTTTTATTTTTAATATGAAACTTTGATTTTGATTTTTTTAACTTATTAATATGAAACTTTGATTTTGATTTTTTTAACTTTGATATTTTTAATGGAAAGTGATATACAGAGTTTTATTTTTGATATGACAATATCTAAACAATACTATCTTTTAAAAATGTCCAACAAAAATATATCCTTGTAAGTAAAAATAAAACTTACTAAAAATTAATAATTAATTAAAATATAATTGAATATAAAATTAACTTATGTCACGTTTATCATATTTTCTAATAAAACTTGTATAATCACTTTCTGCGAATTAATTAATGTCGTAATCATTATTTATGCCATATCAAGGAAAATAATCCACTTACAAATGTGCTTCCTGAGTATCAAATATATTTTTAAACTGGATTAACGATTGTTGGAAAAATATAATAAATTTGTTAAATTTTGGAAGCCTTTCCAAAGCTTGAATTTCCTTCCAGCACTGCGAAGTAATCCATTTAGGCGCGGGATTTGGCAATTCCTAAGAGAAAAGAAATTTTGATATATATGTCGATAATGTACGAGAAATGATAAACATTTTTATATTTCTTTTCTATGTGAAAGCTCAATACTTCTGCAAAAATTAAAATGACGAATTAAAAAAAATCAGTAAAAATTCATTTTTTTGAATTATAAATTTCCAGTTCTTAAAACAGAAAGGGTTTTGTCATTTGTAGTCTTTTTGCTTCTATTTACTGGATATTTACTAAATATCCACTTTAATTGTCAAAAGTCAATAAAAAAAATTAAATCTAATTCAAGAATTCTATATTTCAAAAATGGAGATATGTTAAAATAAACACATTTCTATTTTGCATTCAATATTTGTTCCATGGTTAAATAATGCTATAATATGTTGAGAGAATAGAATAATATTATAAAATATCTATAATTTTAGAATTAATTCTTAATTTCAAAAATAATTTTAACGATAATTTTAGTATGATATGTCACTGTAGTCGGAGAATATTAATATATTGAGTTAGATAAATGCAAAATTACGGGAATTATTAATGCTTTTGTTAGACAGAAACTATTTAGTGCTCCAGGTGTGATCAAATATATTATTTACATATATATTATTATTGCATTATTATATAGCATTTTCTACAGAAAATAATATAATTATTAATTTATTTAATAAAATTTTCTAATTTTTTTATTTGGTAAAGTGCAAATATATAATAATAATAATACAAAATGATTAATATGCATAGCTATAAGTTTTACTTGAATCGGTGCGATTGTTGTAAGAAAATGTTGCCATTCTTTCGAATCGATAGTGCCGTCATCCAAGAGAATACGCGCGCAGAGAAGAAACCCGAAGTGCAGCTTATGTTTCACAAATAAACCGTGACATACGTTCGAGAACAGCTCAAACGTCAAATTTTTGTTGATATTTACGATCCGCTTATCGATATCTTCTGCGAGATTAAATATTGAATTAATGATTGTATGTATTATATAAAGATATATCTGTGTATAAATTTTAAAAATTTATTTAAATTTTAAAAATAATATTAATTATTAATTTAGTGTACCAATCAAGTTTTTAACTTTAAGTTTTAAACTTTAAAAATATTATACATGAATGATTTATTTGCCAATCATAATAAGCTTTGTGTGATGATTCTGCTATAGTAAGTGAAACGCAGAAAGATTCGTCAAATTTATATAAATTTTTTAGATATCTTTATATCATAAAAGTTAAAATCAATGAGATATTAAATATGAGACAAATATGATGTTAGAATAAAAGACATTAGAATACAACTACAATACGATATTGGAGGGAAAAAATACTTACTGTTTGTTTCGGCATTTAGTATGCTATTATTAACATTAACGACAAACCACTCTAAGGAATACTGGTACATAATATTGATACACTGGAGATCGGCAATACAAAAAAACAGTATTTGTGCTCGATTTGCAATCGGCATGTATAATGATCTCGTTAAATCGATATCTGCTTGCGCAAATTCGGCGGCCTCTATCTTTGTCTGTATTAAAAAATCACGGAATAATTGAGTGATGTGTTTGATAAACTGCACGATAAAAAGAAGAGAAGTCATTATTGCATTTTTAATATTAAATAGTTTCTCTCTATTTTTTTATAAACGGACTGACGAACATATGTATGCAATTTATTTTGTTATTAGAATTTTATTTAAATTAATGTTACGCAAAAGTAAAACAATAATTTAAAAAAGCTAATAATTTTAATTTATTTTATTAGCAGAATATTATACATTATCTATTTTACTTGACCTTGATTTCCTCGCTCTGGGCTTTTAGGATAAGAATTAGATTCATGTCATCTATTGTCAATTCTTCGGATGCTGTGAGTTTGTGTAGAATTTTATCTTCGGTCTCTATTAGATCGTGTTTTATTTCGACATTTGATACAATAAGTCTGTTCCTTTCCTGCTCGATATCAGGGCGTTCCTGTATTGTGACCAGAGAGAGTATCTGTTCGACAAGGCCGCTGTGTGGTTTCACACATGTGTAAAATTAGACATAAATTGGACGTTATGTTCGCCACCCGTATCAATCAATGTCAAAAAGATTTTTATTATTTTATTAACTAAATGTAAGTCTGCTTTATTGTATCAATCATTAAAGATTGAATACTTCTATTATTCACAAATAAACAAATTTGTATTATTCTAAAAAATATTCTTCTGAGAAATATTATTCTGTGAAAAATAAAATAGTAAATTTTGTGAGATAAAAGTTAGAAATAATCGGTCGCATGCTTAAGAAAATATTTTCAGATTATGAGAATAACTGATTTTATATTGCACAGCAACTTTTACTGCAAACTTCATATGTATTACAAATTTTATGAATTTTACATAAATGATATATATCTGCATATATTTTCCTTTTTGAGAAAAGTAAAATCTTACCCAACAGTAAGCGTAAAGTTGACTATCAACACTTTTGCTGCTATTTCTGGTGCGTAATGGGGATTCGGTAGTTTCGTAGTTAGGTAAAGGCGAAAATCAAAGTTGTAGGGCACAATATCCTCGCCAATTTTGACACTGAGCTGTCCGGCATGTCTAAATAGCGTACGTTTAAGAATGGAATCTAGGGCAGCTTCCAATTCTGTACCAACATTTTCAATCAAGCAGGGCTTGCCGAATCGCACGCAATCTTCAATCGTGCGTAAAAGGTCTTTATCCATTATTTTTGTAATTGAAAGTCCAATTGGTTTGCACTGGAATTTGAAATAACTTAGATAATCGAAATAGCAGGAGAATGCTTTGAACAATCCATACAAGCGGTAACTGAAGGAGTCTATCGTACAACTGTAAAACCAGCATTTCAAAAATTTGAGAAATTTAAAATAAATATAAACTTTTCTATTATGAAATTAATTTTCTAAAATTGTTAAAAAATTTCAGTTAGACTGTTATATTGAACGCTTTAAATCTAACAAGACAGTCATTTCATATATATATATATATATGATATATAATATTTATACAAATTTCCAACAGAATTATCGCTTTATCGAATAAAATTTAAAATTATGTTATACATGAGTAAAGTTAAATATTCCAATAATGAATTTCTACTATAATTATAAGCATTATATTTCTGTGATTTTATATTATTATTTAAAGTTTGTATAATGAATATATAAATATAGTTCAGTTGAGTCTCTCTTTTACATTTCATTTCTTATCGGCAGCTGTATGAAATTTATAAAGGGTATATTCCGCAAAATATGTTAAAGGAATTCTCTCACTGTTTTTGCAAGTGACTTACTATATTGCGTATCCACTTGTTCGCCTGTGCCTGCGGATCGATAAAGAGAGGAATTCGCTTGGAATTCATAACGAGAATCGCGTTCTCAACGAATATGGTGTCTTTGGGTAAACCGCAGATGTGCCAATTTCTTATCTCAATCTGATTACCGAGAATTAATATCGGTTTGCAGTCTAGAGTGTGAGGTACATCCTCGCCGAGAGCGCTGTACCAGGAGATCAGAAGCTCCCGGCGGTAGGTGTCCGTGAAAGGTGTCAGATATGCTATCGCACCTGGAGGCAAGAATGGTATGAAGGGATTATGTGAAATAAGCTCCACTCTGCTGCTAAAATAAACAAAGCTGCAGTGGACATTCGATTAGCTTGCTAAAGCCAAAGCTTTGTCCATTTCACATGAATGCAATGGTAAACAATCGTCGTCAATGAACCTATGAAGGAATTGTAATATTATTTCGAGTTTAGACTAGAGGAATCAATAAGAAGATAACATAATGAAGCACTCATTGACAATGTTATGAAAGAATTGTGCTTTTAAAGTTATTCATAAAAAACATAACAAATCAAACTTGCATCAATTAAAAGTAAAAAATGCAAATGTTTCTATGATCATGTTTTGAGATTTTTTGCAGCTTTCATTATTTCTTCATATCTACATGTTTGGCGATAAAGACATTATATAATAAAAGAATAATTTTAAATAATATATATACGTACACAAAGTAATCTTTAAATCTGTTTACCTTTAAAACGAGTATAAAAAGAATATAATATTAAAATCAGGATATAGTTGAATAAAATACGATACATAAGCTTGCTGGAGTATAATAAATATTTCCTTTTAAATATTTTTGATAAGATGTCGTGAATATTGTGCTAGAAGGCCAGATGGAATTTATGTCGCTATACTCTGTAAAGAGCAAGATCCCTATAGGCTTAGCAGAAAAATTGGATTTACTAGAATCGCTGCGAGTTTGTTACATCATAAATGTCATATCAATTCTACATTAAAGTGAATCTTGTAGAATTTTAACAATCGATGCTCTTGTTAAATTTCAAAATAATATAATGACAAATTTCATAATATAAAATTGAAATTAAGCAATTATCTATAATGACACTTTAAGCCATTATGCATGCTGTTATTAATTTCATTAATAATCTTTTTTATTTTATTTTAGTGTGTTTGATTGTTGAAATTACGAGTAAGTTTTAATTATCGCGATATAAATTATGAGTTAAATTATGCAAATGACGTCGACTAACAGTAGAGAATTAATATCAAAGAAATTTTTTTTTTTGGATTATTTTTTTCGGTAATATACGGCTGATTGAAACGTTTTGGCTTTTTCTATAAATACAAAATAATTCAAATGAGATGATTATAACATGATCGTCCGCACCTGACGCCAGAAGAATGTCACCGACAGCATTTTTTAGAGATATTTTCATATCCTCCAGTATGACAAACCATCGTTTTTCTTCGTTCGATAGACTCACAATCAATCTTACAGCATACGTAATTCGTTCTTCGTAAAGTTGGGTCTGCCTTTCCAGTTCGGCCTTTCTCACTTCTTCTTCACTCAACTGATTTTGCAACTTTTTGATGCTTCCCTCTACTTCTCGGAGTCTCGACATAGTGGCTTCCAAAATCTTTTCGGTTTTAGCCAAGGTTTTCTCGGTTGTAGTCAAACCTGTCATCTTAGGCGCAACTTTTGTATTCACGTCATAGTAGTTGTATATCGCGTGGATCCACATGCACAAGGAATAGCATGGCTTCGAGACTCGAAGTACCTTTCGACATTGCAATTCCATATTGTAAATACAAATGTACCGATTAAAAACATTCTAGTATTTGTATTAAATTCGTATTAATCGTTATACATTGAAAATAAATGCATATTAAAATTACTTTTTCTTAAAAATTAAATTGATACAGCATGCAGAAATGTAATTTGCTATTTTACAAGATGATATTTACTTTGGCTGGTTGAAAGTTGGGATTTTCTATGTAGTCTTTCAATGTATTGATCATTTCCTCTTTGATATCTTCCTTTTTATAGTGCTGTATTGTGTGAAGGAAATATATTGGATCTGCTAGCATCTCATTTCCAGGAGTCCAGTAATCTAATGTCATTTCACCGGGACGTTCTCCAGGAATCTAAGAATAATCATATATTTTATGAACTTCGTATTTATTAAATTCATTAAAAATCATATTAATCACTTTTTTATAAAACAAGGTAAAGATATCTTGGATCAAGTTTTTTTTTAATTTTTATTGAAATGTATAGTTCTGAAAAGTCAGTTTATTATTATAAAATAATATATTGCTTATTAAAATAATATATTGCCGTGTAAAAGATGCGCATATAAATTGTATAAATAATAAAAAATAAAAAATGACTATTATATTATATGAATTTTTTATAATTATAATTAGTTAAATATTAAAAATAAATATTAATAGTTTATTTAAATATATTTGTAACTATTATTCTGCAATATTTGCATAATTATATGCAAATGCCTGAACAAACCTTATTTGGTTTCACGTTATTCACAATGCACATTGTCTCGATCACTAAACGCACTTCTATCGGCGGTCTTTTCATCGCTCTTACCACCATAATATCGTTTTTATTTAACGCTTTCAAACTGGCCTCGGCAGCCTCGAGCATTGATTTTGCCTCATCTGCGGATATGTAAAACGGGTAAGTTATAAACAGACAATTACAGTTTCTCTCAACTCTTTCGAGTACTACTTAAGTATTACTATTACTCTTGAGTTTTATTTAAATCGTTTAAATGCTTTCAAATTTATAATCTTTTTATGAACACTGTGCTTATGCAATTTTTAAATAATCAAAAAGTTTGGTGCGATTTTAAACATTATTTTTACGATTTGATATAATTAATATATATTAAACTCGGTCAATTGGTGTATATTGATTAAACAAGTATTGAGAATTTTGTCAGTGATTTGTTTTTGATATTGCATTTTTATATTTTTTTCTTACCCGTACGTAAACTCGTACAAGTAAAACTTTTATTTCTATTGCTTTAGATTACTATTTCGTTCCAGTTGTATTTACAAAACGACTGCAAACAATACATATTTAGGCTTGCGTTTCCGCAAGCTTTGCAAACACTTCGTGATATCGCAAAATTCTCCGTCAAAATTCTGATATGTGACCCGCGTACAATGCGATATATTTTCACAAAAGCAGAAAATCAAAGTAAATAACACGGGTATATGTATTCTCGACGCGACAGTTCGCAATATAAGAATGCTATTTCCAATATGCTTTTGCATTCCAAACTGGCTTGAGTTTTCTCAAGATACTAAGATATGGGAATAGATGATGAAAGAACTAATTAATGAAGTTCTCTTTATCTAATATACATATCTAATATCTATAATTTGCATATTACGTGTACGGTATAGCAAGTAGTTAGTTATTATTACGAGATAAGTCAACGCATCTCAACATAAATATAAGTTCTCTAAATTTATCGCATATAATGTATACCTCTGAATTATTATTTAACACGTATGTATTTCATTATAAAAGCAAATGTGTAAATGTGTAAAGTATGGTTTGACTTCAAATGCTAACCAACGTAAGTTATGTAAATATAAATAAAAAGTGTGACGTGACGCTCTCCGCTGCGCCGTCACAAGGGTAGCAGCCCGACCGAGGGGTGGAGGGGGGAGGAAGGGAAGTAGGGATATGGGGAGGAGGAGTAGGGTGAAAAGGAGAAGGGGGAGTAGGATGAGGGAGAGAAGGATGAGAAGGGGAGTAGGGGAAGTAGAGGTGTGGGGAGGGGGAGTAGATGAAAGGGAGAAGAGGGAGTAGGGTGAGGGAGAGAAGGATGAGAAGGGGAGTAGAGGGAGAGGGAAATCCAGAGTTGCCCCTCGCCCCTGAGAGGAAGCAATCTTCCCCGCTTCAGCGATTGCATTAGGCTGTCTTTGCCTTGGTATTACCGTATTATTATTATTAAATTAAGTGACAGGGAAATTAAGACTCCGTCGTGGGACGGCGACCTGAGTGGCTGGCGCGAGTGAAATGTTGTAAAACGACGGTCACACCCGGGAATGAGCAGGGTCATCGCGGAAAAATTGGAAAGGTCACACGGCAGCGATCACGCAAATAAGGTCATATAGCGAATTCCTGCAATTATCGCCACCCGAACCGCCACCAACATTTTGGCTATACATTATAGATGCACATTATTTTAGAACCGACTCCATAATAATGAAACAAGTGCATAAGGATCGCATTATGCTGCAGAACGAGTGGAGGATCCTGTCGTCGTTGCCAAGGACGAGCATCGAGATGACTTGAGTATGGCCCGGCCAGCTTAGCAAGTCACTCTCACAATTTTCGCATCACACATCAGCATCTTATCGGCTAACGAAAGCGCAAGTTTCCGAAACTGGCGAATAAGTAATAAGAAGGGCGTTCTAGACAATCTGTGGGTGAATCAAAGACGCCTCGCCCTGTCATAATCTGAGGAGCGCGCGAAAAATTTGCACGCAACTCAAAGGACCAGGAATAGCCGAAATCGAAGAAAAACACTGTTCAATGAACTCTCGAACCGCGTAGTGACGGCCCATCGCCCGCGGATAAGATGCACCATTTTCCATAAACGGCGAACGCCGGTACGCAGACCGTGGCCGAGAATATGCACCACATATCGATCGAGACCATGGGGAGACGCCCCCTCACTCAGGATGCGAGTATCCAAACGAGCGAGGCCGGATTCGACGTCGCGGAAGCAAGGAGTCGCTCCGAGTTACCACCCCAGGACTTTTCTACTCGGTTTAACCCGCTCTACCTGCACCCGAGAGGTGATTCAGCAATTATCGGACACCCTGTGTATATATATATATATAGGGTGTATCCGATCACCCGCTATCGGGGCATACTACCAGATTAAGTGTTTTATTCCGAATCTATCGATCTTAATAATTTGTTGATTCGCAGCGTAGTTAATTAATAAATCATTTTTTTAAATTAACGGATTTTAAGTAGTATAATGACAGTTTGATATTCTGCAACATGTGCAAAGCGAATTTTGGTCTGGCGGATTTACACAATTGAGAATCGAGGTATACCGGATCAGAAGCAAGTTTAGTTGCCTGGCAATGGAAAATAAAAACTGTATATACAGGGTGATTCAAAATAACCTGATGTCCTTGCAATGCCATATTCTTGAGCAAATTCTGAGATGATTTTTCCTTTTACAAAATTTTGTCCGAAGTTTAGTTTTTGACTTATAATTGAAAATAGTTTACTACTTACGAGTCCGATACAACGGACAGACAGGGACGGTGCAATGCGTCATGAGACGATAGTAAACATTTGACAGTCTCATTATACGTTGCGCGTCCCTGCTTGCCCGTTGTACCGAACTCGTAAGTTGCTACCTATTTTCAATTATAAGTCGAAAACTAAGCTTTGGACAAAATTTTGTAAAAGGAAAAATCGCAGAATTCGCTCAAGAATATGCCATTGCAAGGACATCAGGTTATTTTGAATCACCCTGTATATACTATATATATATTTCCAATTGTATTGATTTTCTCTCATCACAATGTGAAATATTTGTCACGGCACGCTTCACACGAACGCTTTGACGATGCGCATCGCGTTTCCGTACGACAATTACTATTATTATCCCGAAATTCATCAATCTTGCGAAAAGTGTACAAAAAAATAAAGTGAACAATAATTTCAAGTATTATTATTTCGATCGAGCTGAGTAAAGTGTTATAGAAAGACCCTTTCAATATGCGATGTTCTTGAACGTGTGAAATTTTAACAAGCTGATTAATGAATTTTAAACCCTTCCTGATCAAAAATTATAGCCACGACATTTTGGCATTAAGATTTTCATCTTCAAATGATTCAAGAATCTGAGGGAATCATGAACGGATGTTATGATAAGTCTGTCGACTATCCAACGACTATCCAAGGACAAACCAATAGCACTATCATACGTCGAAGTCATAAAACTTTTGTACAAAGCATTTTTTTGTAAAATCCTGTAATTTCCAGATATTTGACTGTTTAAAATAAAATGAGACACCTTTTACACACGCGCGCACGCATGCATCCACCCACCCACCCATTCACCCACCACACACACACACACACACACACACAAAAGCGCCCGCATTGTGCTGTTTTAAATAACATAATTTGAAGTCTACTTTCACGGTGAAACATTTATTTCGCAGGGATAAAACGCACTCAAGTCGATCTCCACCTCATCCCTGATCACTTTATTTTCCTCCCTCATTTTTGATGCCGCCGCTTCTTGTTTCACAGCTGCCACTTTAGTTTTTTCGGCTTCAATCTACAACAAGCGTATTTTAGGCTTATTTTATCCACAATTCGTATTTTAACTACGTAAACATATTTTGTAAAGGGTATATTAACTTGTGCGATGAGAGGATTTAGAAACAGATTAGTATAAATTTTAAAAGAGAGAAGAATGGAATCTGATTAAATTTGTCCATGTAAATAATAAAATTGTTAGGGAGCAAAAATTAATTAAAATAAAATATAAAAGTTATAACAATAAAATAAAATTATAATGAATACGTGTATAAAAGTTAGAATGCAACTATTTTATAATTCATAACATCAAAGTATAACTTATAAAACATAAAATTTTAATAATTGTGTTGCATTCTCATTTTACTCTGACAATGTTTGTAATATAATTATTGAAAAAATATACAGAAAAATCTGGGAAATTCGTTCATTTAGTTTTGTTCGTTTAATACCATTCGTTTCCACGCTTTTAAACTTGGATTATTATAGCTTATGGAATTAGTATGATGCTCTCTTTGCGCGAGCATATGCAAACTGATTATTATGACTTTTAAACGTGTACTTTTTATTAGGGATTGTATTTTCTCGGCGAATCATAAATGCGAAAATTTCAGTAATCGTATTTTTTTATTGTATGTCGTTTATTTATTATAAAAAATATTCTAATTTAATAAGAGCAAAGCAGTTAACTTTAAACTCATGATAATGTATTGTTTTCTGCAGTTGAGAGAAAGAAATTTTTAACGAATATGAGTATATCTCTTAAACGAGAAAATTTTTAAGCATTTTATAGCGAAAAATAATGACTTAATTTTAGATTTTATTGTAACGGTTCTTTTTTAATTAATAAATTAAAATGATAAAGTATTTTCGTTCGAATATACTTACTCTTAATTAATTAGTATATGATACTTTGAAACCTTGTAGTGTAGTGATGTCTTGCCTGGGGATACGAAACTTACAAAAAAATTTCGCGAACAGGTAGCTTTTAATTTTGCTAAAACGTTACATTATTTTATCAGAGCTCTTTTGACATAAACAAAATCGCGAAAAGATTCTTCTGCTTACAAAAGCTTACGACAGCTTTGAACAATAATTGCCTTACAAAAACATCATTAGAGTTAATGATTAAAGGGATCTTTATAATAAGTTTTTTACTAAATAATTTTACGAAAAAATCAAGACATCAAAGATATAAGACATCAAAGGAATTATTAAAGATCGAGATAAATCAGGTGTTTCTTTTACAATTGAGTGATGCAAACTCGAAATGACCCCATGGCACCGCGATGGAGGAAACAGCCGAGTGAAAATCGCTACGACATGTGCCTGTAAGCGCTCAGCCGTACAGGTCACCGGCACACGAACACGTGACATAGGCAGTTATCGCTTGTGTGCGTGCTTTCCCTATCGCGGTGTCATGATGTCATCGATTTCGAGTTTGATCACTGATTGTGAGTCAAAGAATAATTTCAGTTCCATCATGAAAGATATCGTTGAATAGATCTATGTTATCATAACTGATGAGATTTCGTACGAAAAACATGATAACATATTTAACTGTCAAAGATAAAGATTGCAAAACTTTTTATTTGACGAGTATTGAGCTTACTGTGTTTCGAGAAATTTCTTGAATTATCCTCGCCATAACTTCCGTCGCTTTCTCTAACTTCGGCTTTATATGTTTCACTATTTTCTGTATATCATTAACTTCTGCCTCTGTGTTTGCCAACTTGGTCAATCCTATTTGGGGACGTCGATGCGTTGAGTTACAAAGGCTAAATTGTATGCTGATTTATGTAAATCAGATGCAGTCATTAATTTGCATTGTCTTGTATTTTGAACAAGTCAGCGATAATGGATTTTCTTTTAAAGCTTATAAAGTTTGAGTAAATGTGTTCCCTGACTCGACATGATGTTAATCGACAGAATAAGAACATAGTCTCTAAAGAAACATAATTTTCTGTGCTTTTAACAACGTTGATTATAATATATATATATATTGCTTTCGATAATAATAAAGTAAATAAAAATTTTAAGTAACGTATATATAGACATACGATTATTTTCCAATTATCTCTCATACAAAATATTAATATAAAATTAAATTATATCGGATAATGAAGATATAATAATGACTTGATTAAGATAATTTTTCGTACATACAAATCAAACTAACTTTGAATTGATTGATTGAATAGGACTTTTGATTGACTAGTTTGATTGAAATATTATATAAAAATACATCATGAGGATTTGAAAGCTAAAATATTTTATTTCCAGCCTTCTACGGATGCGAATGATACGCACGACGTACACGTAGGACAAATCGATATTAAATTTACTACAAGCTAGTATCAGACAAACAGCGTTAAATTTATGGACTGGAAAATTATCGAGTGCGGTCATGTACCTTTGACCCATAAAATCCGTTTACTTTTGTGCCAAGTGTGCGCCAGTGATAAAATAAGAAAGGCATTAAATAAAAGAAAAATTTTCGTTGTAATTCATCTAAAATCGATCATTTAAATTGAACCTTTTTGGCCTTCAACTAAGAAAGAATTTTCCAGACAAAAAGAAACAATTAAAATTTTATATTCTTTTTTCCTTTCACTTTGTACAGTTTTTCAAATTCTATTTTGAGATTTCGATTACATTACAAAAAAAATATATCACACATTATTTGTTACAATCTGTATGTATCTGAGAGAATAAATTGTGAATTTAAATTTAAAATTTGTCTAAACATTTTTGAACAATATAATATTTAATAATTCTGTAGTTTTAAACTTTACTCACCAGCGGACAAACGAGTTATTGCAGAATTTAATTCGTTCTTCTTCTTTTTCAGCAGCTTGGTATAGCTAGTCAGTAACTCCATGTACGACGTAGAAGTAACATAGTTACAACGTTCTAGTTCCTAAGGTAAGTTTTATTTAGTTTTATTTAGAGTACAGTGTCTATCTCATATGAAATAAAATTGTGTGTTTACCTTCAAGAAACGATCACTGGCATTGATCGCGCTGCTATGCATATATCCGCATATCCTTATGATAGGTTGCCAAATTTTGTCCGTGATCAATTTGTCTTTAATGTCCGACAGAAGATACGTTGCTATGCTCTATGCAAAAATAGGTGTGTTGCAACTAATTATACTCAGTATCATTAGTTTTCAACTAATTACACTCTTTTTCTACCGTCATGTACTTCGTAATAGTAATAATTTGAGGCTGGCAAACTTGGAGAAATTATGTAATATTACGCTCTATGAACTTATACCAAGTTACGAAAATTAATTTATGAGGAACTTCCGGGGGAAATCAAAACGTAACTCAGAATAAGTGATGTCGCGAAATTATTAAATGTTATACGCTGAGATATCCATATTCATACGCTACATTGAACATTGCTATCTCCAAAATTCCTTATAACAAAAGATGCGGATTCTCGTACGAGATAAGTACATTCCCACATTAGATGATTATATTTAGTGTTAAATGCGGATCAAAATAATCGAAAATTTTGGATATTTTATAATTTGATACAATAAAAATTGTCGAAACATCTTTAAAAAATTTATTTCATAACTCAAATATTCTGTTTTGGAACTATCACATAATGGCATTAGTATCGAAAGTGATAAGTGACATTAAAATTTATATTATTTGATTATATCAACTTATTTGATTATCATAGTTAATATAAAATAATAATCTCACATAGAATTACGAAGATTCTAAAAGAATAAAATAATAAAATCATTAAATTTCTCTAAATTCTCAATGTGATATCTCATAATATTAAAACTTCGTATTAATGTAATCTATAATTATATATATAATTAATATTTGAGCTAGAGAGATTTTTTTTTTTAACGTTGACTTAATATTTGTATAAAAAAATATTTATAGCAAAGATTAGCGGAGACAGATATATTTCTAGTCACACTTTTATCGTATTATACAAACCTGAAGCGCGGTATTCGGCCAGGGGCAAAACCAATCAATTGTAGAGCAATTTATTAGCGCCGGAAATTGTCTGATGCGAGCACGAAATATATCTCCGATCGGGCTGTATATTAAAAATGTGCAACATTAAATTTCTGCTTGTGAATTTATGATTAGATATAAAAATTAAATCGCACATTTCATAATTTATCGAATAATAATATGAGAAATTAAATTAAATATTAAAGCAACTTGTAAGTTAATTCTTTAACAGATTACTGTATTTACTTAATGAATTATTGACTTACAAATGAATTTTACCTAATTTGTACTAGTTAATTCTCTAAATACTTATTTTAGCAAATCGTCTTAAATTATTTAATTACTGCATAATCTTGTATTACAAATCTATAATTATAATAATACTTTTTCAAACTGATTAAACAGATTAAGAATAGAAAAGCAATAAATTTATTTGGGCAACAAATTTTTTTTTATATTAATAGGATTAATGAATAATATTATTATTTTTCTAGTCCCTCTTTAAAAGATCCTTTCAGTTTAACAAGTATAAAAAAGTATGATTAAAGGATACATGGTATAAATTAGCATTTAAAAAAAAAATTGGTAAAAAACTTGATATTGTAGAATGTACACAATGCAAGTATGATTCGAATATCAATTAACGTTGAGTGATTTCTTTATTATATGAAAAATCTATGCAGACATAGATGAACTTGTACTTGTACTTTTAGCAACCGACGCGAATAAATTAAATTCACCGAGCAATATTTCGTCAATCTTTTGGGCTTTTCGCCGTTTTACATTTTATCTATTAATATTTGCCCAGATATTGGATATTGGAGCTTTCAAATATTTGTACAGTTACTTTTTTATCTTTATTCTATTAAAATCTAATTCTTTATGTAGGAAATTATGCTTATTAACTTAAAAATCTTAAGTCAGATAAAAATACTTACAAAAGCTTGATGATGAAAGCTTGAAAGACATGGATTATTTATGAAATAAAATTTGTATATCAGTTTTTTAGAAACTGTAATTGAACAATTTTCATAAAAATTTATATTATTTTTATTATTCATTACATTTTATTTTATGTTTCACATAAATATCAAAAAAATTTAATGACTGAACTATTATCCCAAAATCTATCGATCCATTCTTTGCTTATAGCAACTTTACATTAAGGTGCGGCATGCGATATAAGATTAATGACGTCAATTAAAAACTGACGGCTATTAAAAACTGTGTGACTCGATATATCAGAATCGTATCTATTCGTCGTAAATGTACAAATTTCATAGATGAATCTTTGAATTCATTAGCATGTCATGACAAGGAATAATTCAGTTTTGCGCGATTTCATGTCCAACATTGTATTAAAAGCTATGTGACAGTTATGTTTTTCTGCTTCCGAAAATGTGCCATCGCATAAATTTCATATTTTTGTTTTTAATATCCATTTGTTGTAACTTGTAATTTCTTGCTAGCTACCTTGCAAAGTGACGTAATCATTTATAGGGCATAAAAAATAAAATTATAAAAATTATTATATTATAAATATATACTATAAAGTTTTTCACGAGACGTTAAAAAGTGGCACTAATTGTAAAATTTAAGTTTTTAAGTACCTCATTGTGATGACAATATGTAAGTTGTTTCTGACTGCCTTCAGATAAGCGGAAAAAAGATTGCCCTTATTGATCTGCAGTCCAGGCTCTTGTATTGACGTCCGCATTGCTTGATATATTTTGTCCATTTCATCAGCTTGATATACGTTCGGAACATCGCCGGTGCTCAGTATATTATTTAAGTCCTCCAACATGGAGTCATTTTTTATCTAGATGAACGTATAATTTCATAGAACGTTAGGGGATATGATTTATAGAAACGCGAAGAATTTCAATATCAGCACAAATTACAGTCATTCTAAGAGTGCCATTTAATTTTATTTAATTTAATTAATATTTAATTTAATTTAATTTAATTAATGAAATATACACACATTTCAATTGTTACTAAATTATTTGTTCGTTATATTTCAAATTGACACTTAAATGATTACTTCAATTGGGTTTTAAAATGCATTTTTTTTTAAATTAAAAAAACAATATTTTACTCATAAGCGAGACATTCCTCTAAGCATTTCCTTAAGCAAAAAATCTTACATGAAGCATATTCAGTAGTAAACTTGAAATCGCTGACACTATGGCATTGCGATAGAGGAAGCACTCACACAAGTGAAAATTGTTACGTCACGCGTTCATGTGCGCTCAGCTGTTTCGGTACCGTACTGGCACACGGACGCGTAACGTAGGCAATTTTCGCTCTCGTGCGTGCTTCCCCTATCGCGATGTCATGATGCTATTGGTTTCGAGTTTGCATTATTGAGCATATTCCTCTTTAACACGTATTCATCTATAAAAAAGTGGACGCACGAGCTATGATCATGAGTAAATTTTTCTATAGGAAATTCCATAGTAACTTGAATAGCCTCTTGAAATAAGAGGATATGCAAGATACACGCATTTGATAAAAGAAGATTATTATTTAGTTGCTACGCGATATGCATGCGATCACCATACACAAGGCAGCGAGCTTTGTGCGAGCAGTGACAAGTTGTGTACCGTGCTGTTCGAAATGAACGAAGTAAAAGAAAGGATTTTCCTCTAATCCAGGGCTCGGAATTATTTCATCTTTTCGGCCGATTCTCGTGGTATACGCCTCCTTTTCTCTCCTTACCGCGCGCGCGGCAGCCACTAGGGCCAGCGCCGCCAAGCGTTAGGAGCAGCGTTATCCGATTAATATTTAAAAAATTGATTAAAAATATTTTTTTCCCCAATAGCAATAGTACCTCATAGGTGACGTGGAAATTTATTGAAATATTTCCACATAATAAATTTAAAAATCAAAAAAATATTTTTAATAAATTTTTTAACTTTTAATAATTAAGGGAGAAGAACTCAACATTTATCGCCGCTCCTAACGTTCGGCGGCGCTGGCCCTAGGGCGACTGCCGCGCGCGCGATAAGAAGAGGAAAGGAGGTGTATACCACAAGAATCGGCCAAAAAGATGAAATAGTTCCGAGCCCTGCTTTAATCAATATATGATAATCAGGTATAAATTAATGCTTATTGTTAATAAGATTGAAAGTAACAAACATTTGTTTTAAAGTATCGTTATAAATGCTCTAAATAAGAATAATATTAAATTTACAAGAAGAAGAGATTCTTCTAACATTAACAGGATTGCATTAAATCCAGTGTCTTATTGTTATAAGTTGTTTCTCTACATATTAAAGTATCTTCTTCAGGCCGTATATCAGAGAAAAATCCTCTAGAATCAAAAGGATACCGCTAAAGAATAGAATATTTTTTTAGGGTGTGTAAAATAATTATATGCTTAAAGCAGACAAGCATATTTTACAATATGAAATTAATACAAAAAAAAAAGAAAAATACATATATTTGTATTAATTATACCTATACTTATTTATTATTTACAATACGTATAGATAATGCGGATGATATACATGAGTGATACGGATACGTCGTAATAATACGGGAAGCAAATTTTTTCGTATCATATCATTGTTTTCAACGTTACAGTAAATTCGTCAGCCGTGAGTATTGGACTCCACATACACAACAACGGAAAGTCACGTCTATGTGCGCTCAGCCATCGATTCGACGCTCGGTCGTCAATTTGACGCCGGCGCACACGGACGTGACTTTGCGTTGGTGTCGTGTGAAACTCAAATACGTACGGCTGGCGATATTGCGTTACAATGATACAATACGAGAATACTCAATAAATCCGCACACGATCAATATATAACCATAATCATAACGTAGCTAAATAATTATAAACATAAATTTATTTAAAATTATTTAAAATAATAATAATTTGTTTAACAACATTGTGCACATTTAGTTATTGTAAAATTTAATCTCGCTGTTATACCTGCGTATCTGAGAATAAAAAGACAACAGATTGATTCCGCAATCCTGTCTTTAGCATTATATTTTTGATGTCGTCTCTCCAATTGTAAATTGTATAACATCTATTGATTTCAATCTGGAAACAGTTGTACTCTTGGATATGCGATGAAAGCTTTGTTAAGATCTGACGTCCTAGTAAAATAAAAGCGTTCCGCTTTGAACTTACCATTTCGCATTACCGGACGCAATTTATACAATATAATAAGCAGAAGCTGCTTAGACGAAGAGAGTCATCGATATTAATTTCTCAGAAATATGAGAAAAATTTCAAGATATTAAATGATTGTTAAAATGAATAAGAAGAGAAAATCAAGGGCAGTTAATATATTTGATTTTGAGATGAAAGTTTCATTTCTCTGACAAGATCAGTTTTAATTTTTTAAACTTATATAATATGGTAAACATATATTATTCAACGTATATAAAAAACATTAGACATATGTTTAAAGTTGATTAATTAATACCGATGTAATCCACATTTAAACTTAATAGGAGAGTATTTAAACTCTCTCTCTCTCTCCC